AGCTTTAACTGGAGAACATCTCAGAGTTGTTCTTCTTTTGGCTGGTTTCAGTTCATCCCACCAAGCTGGCGAGCAGCTAAGAGATGTGACTGAGGTCATGTGACCCTCCTGAACACAGTCTGTGGACTCCTTATATATTTCTTTTTGTCTTCTCTCAGCCTGCAGTTCAACTAAAAGTCTCTGATTTCATTGCAGCTGACGAGTCGCTGACGGTTTCCCAGCTGCCCACAAAAGCACAGATTCTTTCTGGTGCAAATAGTTCATTTTTGGCCAGTTTTTAAACAACAAATCAACAGATGTAGTTTAAATATTAGGGTTTCAAGCTCAGAGTTGGACACGTTTAAGTCAGAAAGTTGAAGAAGTGATGATTTTCTCCATTTTTATCGGTTCTGAATCTGATAACTGGAGTAATTTTGGCTATTTTTTGAGTTTTGAGGTCCAGAGAGTGAAAACCAGCAGCTCTGCTCCAGAAACCAGGAAGGATCGGCGACACAGTTTGTTCTTCAGCCGTAAAACGTCCCCTCAGCTCACGTCTCTGATAACTGAGTCCTGATGGAACTGATAAAACGTTCATGTGTTGGTTTTGGCAGCATGTTTTCTTTCTGGATGAAAGCATCGCGCTAATAAAGCTTCACCACTTGTATTAAAGAGAGAAAAAGTGTGGAGAGAAGCCAGGAGGAGCAGTGATGGAGAGACGAGCCGCTGCGAGGAGACGACAAGAAAGCAGAAGGTCAACTCCTATCTCATCTCCGGCAGCTAATTGCTGCGAACCTGCCGCTCCGACTGGTCATTAAATCCTTTTATCTCATATTTTACACTCGGCTCCGACTCCCCTCTGCTCACTTCCAGGTTGCGCCGAAGCCTAATGATGCTCGGCGCCGTGACATTGTCGGAGGGGGAAGGAGGGAGGGAGGCCGGAGAGGTGGCCGAGGACGAGAGTGATGGACGGACGAGGCGGGAGGAGGAAGGAGGAGGTGAGGGAGAGGAGCAGGAGATGACAGAGGGAGGTCACGGACCCAGGAGGAAGACGGAGGGAGATAAAGAGTCAGGGGTGCAGGAGGAGACATGGGGGAAAAGTGGAAAGAAAAAAAGGAGCCAGGATGGCAGGAAGGTGGGAGAGTGAGGGAACGTAGAGGATTCATTAATCACTGTCTCCTCCAGACGCCTGGACGCTGCTTAATGACCGCTCTGCAAGTGGTTCAGTGTGTAGCTGCCGTTCAGCCTGTGTTGTGTGTTCCAATGTGTACATGTGTGTGTCTTCCTCTCCTGGACGGGTCAAACGTGTGGTTCTGACTCCAGCAGCTTGTTCAGAAACACTGCAACATCGCCATCTGCTGGCTGGACGGGGCTTTACCCCTAAACGAGCCCGTTGTGATCCGTCCAGGATGGGTTCTAGGGTTTACCTGATTAACTGAGTTATATCATAGAAATGCTGAACACACACGGCCCAGTTCACAGCACTAGATCCTCAGGTGGGTCTTCTGATTGGTCCACAGGTGAGACTTAAATCTAATCTTCAGCTGTGGATTTAAATACCTGATGAGGGAGCACAATCAGCGCCATCTTTTCATTTCCTGAATTCCAGTTTTTTGCTTTAATGTGATTTCTGTCATCATATTTTTATTTTATTTTATTTGTCTCAGTTGATCTTTGATCTATTTATTATCACTGTTATTATTTTAGTCTTGTTTAATGGTTTTAAAGAATATTTAATTTAACTTTTTATTTATTTTAATTATTTTCCATCTGTCTGCCTTTTATTTTTCTCTTTATGTATCATTGTAATAATAATAATAATAATAATAATAATAATAATAACAATAATAATAATAATCATAATTTATCCTTGTTTTATGGATTTACTCTATTTGATTTAATTTTCATTAACTATTATTTGTCTGTCTTTTATTTTCAATCTATGAAATATTATTAGTATTTTTACCCTTGTTTATAGTTTTGCTCTATTTAATTTAATTTTCATTATTTTAATTATTTGTCTATCTGTCTGCCTTTTATTTTTGTTTATCTATTTATGTATCATTATTATTATTATTATTTTACCCTTGTTTATGGATTTACTTTTACTTTAAATTTACAATTTAATTTAATTTAATTTAATTTAATTTAATTTAATTTAATTCATTTTTTTAATTTTTTTATTTGTCTGCCTTTTATTTTTCTATTTATGCATCATTGTAATAATAATAATAATAATAATAATAATTTACCCTTGTTTTATGGATTTACTCTATTTGATTTAATTTTTATTTGATTTTTATTTTATTTTATTTTCAGTCTATGAAATGTTATTATTATTTTTACCCTTGTTTATGGATTTACTCAATTTAATTTCATTTAATTAGATTTTTATTCGTGTTAATTTATTTGTGTGACCAACGGTCTTTTATTATCTTATCTCTGTATTTAATATTGTGTTTTTATTATAATTACTATAATTTTAACAGTGTTTTTTATTTTTAGTTTGTTTGCTGTATTGATCCAGTTTTACTGAGTTTATCATGAAGTCGTGTTTTTTCTCTGCTGAGCTCCGTCTCTTCACCGGTCTGTTGTTTTCTGTTGTTTCAGGATCATCGACCTGTTTCTCCTCCTGCTCTGTCTTTCTGTCTGTAAAGACCTCTGCTTTTAAAATGCTGCTTCTGCACACAGTCAGAATAAACACTGAATAAAAAGCAGCAGATTTGTTTATAAGCCTGAGTTGATGCAGATGTTTGATATTCACAGAACTAATAAAAGCAGCAGGTGGTGTCTCCTAGAAATGATCCATAATGAGAAGACTGCTTCACATCAGGACATTTTTTAACTTGAACGCTGCGCCCACGCCTCAAAAAAGTTGCTGCTGAAGTCTTTAAACATTCAGCTCCAGAACATTTGGCTGACGGACCCACAGATCGGGTTCCTTCAAGGTGAAGTTTTCAGAGAGAATAAATCTGAGGCTTCACCTGCTTCGTAGCTTTAAGCAGAGAGAAGAAGTCGAGGCTGTGACCTGAGGAGCTTCGGCTGCTGCTGGACGAAGCGTTTCTTAAATCATCTGAACTCGTTTCTTTGGGTTCTGTGTTTGCTGGAAACATAAAGAATTATGGAAGATGGAAAACTTCTAATATTCTCATCATCTTTCAGTGTGTGTGTTGAAAAAAAAGCAGCGTCAAAAGAAAGTAAATCCTTGTCCGCTCCGTTCTCGAGCTGCTCAAACGAACAACAATAATTTGGACCTTCAACCAGTTAAAATGAAGTGAAGATTGAACGCAGCCTCTGGAAAACCTCAGCTGCTCCAAAAGCCTCCATCAATACACAGCGATTAACCCTCTGAGCCCCGAAACCCAGCAGCAGCTTTAAAAAGCTATTCATCTTTTTTAAAAATCACCAAAATGACATCATTTATCAGAACCAGAACCACCGTTTCCAGCTTTAATGGTCCTTGAACTCCTCATCTGTAACGTGCTGTTCTGTCAGCGAGGGCAACCACATCTCAGCTGAAAAATTTAATTTTGTCTACTTTTAAAAATCCCCCCAAAAATCAGCCTTTTGCTCTGATTACATTCTGTTAAAAAGAAAAAAATCTGCGCTCATCTGTGCAGCCATGAAGCCGGTACTGACCCAGATTCAGGTAACGGTCACATGAGGAAAATTCAGGAACCTTTCAGCTGAACAGCAGGCAGTGCTGACATAGAGCAGGAAGTAGTAAACACCTGTAGCATGCAGTCACCTGAGTTGTACCTGTTGATTCCTGATTTTTTTGCTTATTTTTTTCCCCTTTCTTAGGCTATTATGTCACTAAAACCTTGTTGTAATGGTTGTGCTGTTTCTATAGAGGTACAGGACTTTATGTTGCAGTGAAAACACAAAAAATGTCCAGACAATGCTCAGAGTTGAGAGCGTTAAAAACCACCAGACAAAAAAACAAAAGCAGCAACAAGCAGCCAACAAGCAGCCACTTACGGATGTTGTACTCCTGGACCTTGTTGATGTAGCTGTAGACCGGAGAGTACCCGAAGAAGACGAGCATCACCGGCTCGCCGTCGGCCAGCTCCACCACGTGGGCCGTGTGGCCCTCCAGGGCGTAGGGAGGGGGCGGGGCCGGTTTCCGCGGCGACCAGGTGCGTCTGGGGATGTTGAACACCCACATCTCGTCCGTCACGTTAGCGGATCCCGACTCCAGCTTCCCGCCAAACATGTAGATGTCGTCCTGCACAGAGGAGCAGACGAGAGGTAATCAGATCAGTCTGGTGTCGGACCGTGTTCTGATGTCAGGAAACTGTGAAGACGTCACGTATGAATGTTTGGTCTAGAGCTTCAGGCTGCAGTGGAGAACTTTATCGTTCATTTATAGTTTGGCAGCAAACGTGGCGTCTGAGATGAAAGTGGTTTTGTTTCTGAACACATAATACATGAGAGAAAATCCATCCATCCATCATCTCTACACCTTCATCCTCACCAGGGTCATGGGGGGCTGGAGTCTATCCCAGCTGACTCAGGGTGAAGGCAGGTTCACCTGGACAGGTAACCAGTCTATCACAGGGCTACACTTAGAGACAGACAACCAAGCACACTCACATTCACACCTACGGACAATTTACAATCACCAATTAACCTCAGCATGTTTCTGGACTGTGGGAGGAAGCCGGAGAACCCGGAGAGAACCCACGCTGCACGGGGAGAACATGGAGACTCCACGCAGGAAGATCCCGGGTGTCCTCACCGGGACGTGAACCGGTGACCTTCTAGCTGTGAGGCCACGGTGCTAACCACTGATCCACCTGCAGCCCTGTTTTTGTTTCAAACACATAATACATGAAAGAAAATAACAGCTGAAAACCCTGTGAGCCATGCATGTGCTGAAACGGGAAGTTAATTGATTTTCAGCCTTGTTCTTGCTCCAGACTTTGCGTGCCTGCTCCCTCCATCACTATAAAGACTAAAGCACATCAGCATCAGAGGGTCTCCTGCACTATTACTACACCTGCTACAGTCAGACGTCTGCAGCCGGCCGAGCATCTTCCCCGGACGCCACCACTCACACAACAGCTCTCGTCTGAGTATTTACATTTCTTTAAAATACTGAGAAGATGCTGATGGATTCTGTATTGATCTGGAGCTGCAGTGACCATTTAACACCTGCCAGTTGTGCAAATTTCCATCAGGGACACCTGAGATTCACAGATAATCTGCTGCTGCTGCTGCTAAATGGGGCCGAACCTTCATCCTCCCACCCCGTCGATATCTGGCAGCATCACTCTGCCTCGTGTGTTTAGTTCATCACAGCAACAAACACGTTTACAGTTTGTGATTTTACATCGAACCAGTTTGGTTCAGTCAGAAAGAGCTCAGGTCTGTTTGACGTGTTTCATTCAGGCTGCTGTGAAACACGTCATCAGCATTTAAAGCAGCACGACTGCTTCTGTTTTCACTATTTTAAACTTAATGTTATTTGCTTGGTGAGTTTTTAAACATTCAAACTTGGCTGGAAGTGAAAAACTTCATTGGTTTGCAAAAACTTTAAATCTGTTTTTAAATCACTAATAAACTGGACACACATCGGTTGGATGGAATCAGCTTCAGGTGAACATGTGGCTTGTTATTCATGCTTCTGCTGATGTGATGGTGACCTTTCAGAGGTCTGCTGAGGAGCACTGAAGTGTTTGCTACAGCGTTAACAAACAAACCGAAGGCAGCTTGGTTCTGTCTGACGTTAACCAGTCCAGTTATTAACACATTTCATGTCGAGCATCATCGTTCACATGTTAATATTCATCCAGACAGTACTTTTGACATGAGAACATGAGTTATGACGGCTTTACATCCCCACAGATGATCTAACATCTAACCTCAGCAGACCAAAATATCAGCGTGAACCCGACGAAGGGCGAGAGGTGAAGACTCTGAACGTCTCAATGGAGCACAAATAAGACGTCAGCTGTCCTCGAGTCAAAGAGGTTTTCATGAGACACTCTGGTGATGAAGCCAAGTCGTTCCTGTCATCCTCCTCCAGAGGAACCAGGACGGTTTCAGGTCAGACTTACAGTAAACACCAGTTCCTACCAATCATGTGCAGGCTTCAGTCCGACCTCCTCCGGATCAAGTCTGACCTTCATCTGTCTTCATCCTGCCTCCCGTCCTTCACCATTAAACCACTTCCTGCTCACAAACCCTCCCAGTGTTTGGACAGCGACGCGTCACCGATGCTCCGAACCGTGAAGTGATTGATCAACGGGGATCGCTCTGATGTTCTCATTTCTTTACGGGACGACGTGAGTAATGGGTCAGTCGGCCAGAAAACGTCTTCAGCTTTGTGAAATGACCTCATATCGCTGCCGCACACTCCACCGAGCCAGAGCCGTCTCCAGATAAGTGCTGCGACATACGTTTCCCTTCATAATCAATTCAGTTCTCCGATATTCAACGACAAAAAAACACAAAATGAGTTACAGAGCAGACAGCGGTGCCGTTTGTGGAGGCGGAGATGGAGAAGGATCCATCAGGGGGCAGTCGTCTGGTTCATTTGAGAAGCCGGAGCAAGAAAATCTTTGTGTTAATTTTCTACAGGAGGATAATCAATGTTGTGCAAAATTAGCCCATAAATTGTCAGAGTTTCGAAGCCGGACTGAACCTCTGCTGAACAGTAAAAAACAAGCGAAGTGTGAAGTTTCACCAGAGACGGAGCTGCTGTAGGTCTGAGGTAGTGAACAGGACACAGAGATAGAAGCTCTGATGACATGTTTGTTCTTTAAAGCTGCTTATTTCTAAAGACGTTCAGAGTGAAGGTGAGTCTGAGCAGCGATGCATCAGTTCAACACACGTCTGGTTTAAAGCACAAACTTCTACGCTGAATGAAAATGTGTCTCCAGCTGATGGACGTTTGGAAAGTGATGTTCTCGCTGCTATGATTCAGATCGATTCAACATTTTCCAGGTGAGACTTGTGCACAGACTGAAGCTGGACTCTCACATTCTGAAGTTCAAATATCCAACTTTTACTGGAACTTTCTGAATAAAATATAAACTAAATACGAGCATTTGCAGCTTTTTGTCGTTGACTGAAGACTCATTTTTGATTTTTAATAACCAGATGAACAGATTTCTGTGTTTTCAGTCAGTACAGTGATATTCCTCTTTTTATCTTTGCACATAAAGAAAAATACACATTAACCTCCTGAACTCCAAAACCCACAACAGGGTTTGAAGGACGTGGGATCTTTATAAAAATAAAAAAAATAAATTAATTAAAAAAAAGCCAAGTTCACAGCATTTATCGGAACCAGAATCTTTTCTGGCATCTTTAAACAAATCATCAGGAAAATTAACCCAAATCTGAACTGAAAACAGGAATATTTCATCAAAATCATTTTAAATGTCTCTTTTAAAAAAGGCCAAAAATAAGATTAATCTATAAAAAAATAAATTAAATGATGCACTACTTGGCATTAAGTGACTGAAACACAAATTAACTGGAAAATATCACTAAATTAAAATATCTACAGTTTGGAGCGCCGCAGGTTGTTTTTTTTCCCAGAAACCTGGACATCTGGAGAAACGTTGCTCAATGTGACTCCAGGTTTTTTAAATTATATGATTTATTACCAACCAAACTGCCTTGTTTGTTGTTGTTTGTGTTGTTTTATTAGAATAACAAAAGAAACCTGATTTTGTTTCTGCACAAAAAAACAATCGGGCCTGAAGTACGTCTGCCGACTTGACCTCCTCCTCCGTCACTCAGCACCGATTCTCTGGAAGTGCAGAGTTTTATCTCTGTTTCCTTACATGTGTTTGTCAAAGACCTAAATGATGATTACTGGAACAGTGGAAGACGCCAGCAGGCTGCCAAAGGGTTTGGTTTTATTTTCATATATTTATGCCAGATTTAATATCACACCAGACACTGTGGATGAGCTCCAGACGACCTCGTTGTTTTCGTAGATCAATTAACTGTAGATGCTGTTTTACAACCTGTTATCTAGTTTTAGCTCAGTTTCAGGTCTTTTCCTGAATCCTGCAGCCAGGACACGTTTGCATTCAGATTTCTGTGGTGGTGAATGTGTGTGGAGCCCAGATTACCAGCTTGGCTGCACTATAACTCAGCTATGACCTGAAACACACTCATACTGGGGCTGCGTTCTCATATTTTCCACTATTTTCTCTGCTGTTTACCTGGTAGAGAGCCAGCGAGTGTCCGTATCGGTAGAGAGGACCGCTGCTGACGGGAACCACATCCCACGTACTCGTCTCCAGGTTGTAGCTGCACAGAGACACAAAGCACAGAAGCTTCAGCACCGAGAACCATGGAAGCTGGAGAACAGGCGCTCTGTGGCGCCGAGTCAGACGGACGCTGCCTACTTGAGGACCATGTGGTAGTTGGAGTAGTTGAAGGAGTATCCTCCCACCACCCACATCAAGCCGGAATGCACCAGGGCCCGGTGGGACGCCCGACCCAGAGACTGAGCCGACGGCTTGACGCTGGGCAGGACCCAGAAGGCCTCGGTGGAGGGGACGGAGAGGGAGCAGTCCGGACCTGAGGCAGGAACAGAGGAACGAAGCATCTTTTAGAGCTGCACCGTTAGACACCACAGCGTAGCGTGTAGAACGTTTTATTTGTGTTGCTGATTTTAAAATGAGAGGAATTTAGTTTCTCACTGCCGGATCAGATGCTGCATCGTTAATCCTGACAAAACCACATGTGCTTGATTTTATTTTATTTTATTTCTGGGATAAATAAAGTATTTTTCATTTCATTTACACTAAATGGTGGCAAAAAAATCTGTTTTCCTCCAATAAGTGTGACTGTTCAGAACCACAGGAGTTTTATATTCACTCCACCTCGACTGCCTTTTGGAAATACAGTGAAAAGGAAAACAAGGAGATGTGATCAGTCATAAGTATGAAGCCACTGATGGCAAACATCCCACTTGTGGATCTGTACCTGCACAAGCCATAAAATCCCCCCAAAAAGAGCCTCGAATAAATAAAATAATGTTAAAATCATGCATCTATAAAGGAAAAATATACATAACAGATGCACATTCTTACATTTCAAATCAGATAAAACAGCTTTAAATGATCAAAAGTATTAAAAAACAAAAACACCACCACACCGGACTGAGTCGGATAATCGACCCAAACATGACCCACACACAGAAACATAAGAAAACCTTCATTCAGCCTTTTATAGGCTTTAAGTTGCTGTGTTTTGCTGAGAAAACCCTGATTCCTGGAATGTACGTGGACGTTCTGTTGACAGGGCTGAAGACTGAGCATCCCACCGTCCTGCTCTGCTCCAGCTCAACAGAAGAGACGTGAGCGCTGACAGCGAGGCTGCAGATCACTTCCACAACATCTGCTGGTGTCTCCAACAGAGAAACACCTTCAACATCTTCAGTAAAGTCAATTATGTGACCTTCAGGAAGCCTACAGACATGTTTTATCTTAAAGTCTCTCAAACTTAAATATGTGTACGATGTTTTCCTCTTGAAGCCCAAAAATCTGTCAGCAGGTTTGAAAAGCACGTTAGCTTATAAAAAATCTATCTATAAAAAACACATCATACACTGTCTGATGGTCGTTGAACTACACGAGGAAAATTATTTAAATCTGAGCTTAAAATGGTGATATTCTCATTTCAAAAAAACAAAAATAAAGTGATTGTTTTAACCAGATTCTGTAAACAAAACCAAATAAAATATGTACACTTGTAAACCCATCATTAGTGAACAACAGTCACCACATGGGAACATGAAGAGGCTGAGGAGGAAACAAGCACGGACACATGGACACATGGACACGTAGTGGTGGGGCTGACTAAATTAAATTAAACCAACTAAAATTGTAAAATAACTTCAGTATGTAGACTCACTATTTTCTCTGGACAGTACTGATGACACCATTTTTTAAATAGTTTTGAGTCAGAGCCCACTTGGCTTTCAGCTCAGAGCTTTAGAATCACTCACATGGAGCTCTTTAATGCCGTTTCCTCTGGAATGTGCAGATCTGAAGTTCGCTGCAGCTCCAGCACACCAGCTCACCTGCAACTCTGCTCAAACACTGCAAAACTACTCGATGCTACACACAGAAAAAGAACAACGATGCAGGACGTGTCACCCTGCAGACGGACAGGATCGGCTGCTGAGGTTCGTTTGTCTGAGTTTCTGTCGTCAGTAAAGTGCAGCTTCGAGGTGGAAATCAAACATTCAGCCGGGACGCTGTGTGGACAAACTGAAAAGCCTAAAACAATCCCCATCATAGAGGATAAAACCCACGAGAGGTGATCTGATGAGTGAATAACGGCTCAACAGGTAACGACCGAGACACGAGGAGACCAGCAGCATCCAAACACTCGCCTCCTGCTGCAGGCTGAGCAGAGCCGACGGGGGCAGAACGACAAACAGCAGCTCTGTTCATTAACACAAAAACATTTGGATTTTTTTTTGTGCTGCCAAACGGCGGTTGCCATGACGACCGCTACCTTTACTACAGCCGCTGTTTGAGCGACTGATGGCTGCTCCGAGGCCGAGCGGTGTTTCCCCTCCACCGCCTGATTCATTACCGGACTGATGTCAGCATTCACACAAAGCACTCGTAGCATTTAGAGAAGTCAGGAGTCCAGAGTCTGACTCATTTTAATGTCATTTAAGTCTTTAAAACAGGAAGTAACTGTTTGTTGAAATGAAGTCATCACAAATTAGAAGCACTAGTGTAAATAGTGAGTTTGCAGAAGAGTTTATCAGCAGATTCTTTAAATTAAAGCCTTAACTGTGGACTCACTTTGATTATTTCATCCAGTGTGGTATCAAACATAGACCTCCTCACAGGGTGGGTGTGATGGATTATTTTACCTGCTTTCTAAAGCTCAGTTTGTTCTGTACGGTTCTTATAAACACACTGGACTGAACTGCTCTGCGTTCACAAATAAATCAGACGTTTAATGAAAACGACACCAAATCCGTTTTGTTCTGAGAACTCTGCTCGGCGCCGCATTGTCTGAAAATCTGGGCTCATTTCGCTCACAGCTGTAATTTACTGTGATTATTTCAGGTGCAAAGGCCTCCGTGTGCCTCCGCAGGTCTAATTGAGCCATCAAAGGTTTAATTTCATGCCAGAAATCAATTAGTCGGAGCAAATGTGATTATTTGAATAAATATCCAGCAAGGTGTCAGAAATATGACATTATGGCAGGAGTTTCACTGACTGCACAATGGACGCTGCACTTTAGCATCAATAGCTCTGCCTCCTTATCGTTGATTTAATCTTCTATTGTTTTAATTAACCGTTTTATTTATTGTGTCTTATTGTTGGTGCACATGAGCATACGATAAATAAACCCTCTGGAATCTTATTAAGATATGAGGGTTTTTAGGGTAGCTTTATTTGCTTGTTGTTTTTAAAAAGATAGATTTTATTTAAAGGAATCTGCTTCAGTACTTGTAGAGTTTCTCCTTGTGCTTACAGCTTCAGTCCAGCAGGGGGCAGTGCTTCATTATTTAATCTAAAGCGTCTAACTGGCAGGTTCAGAAATATTATTAATATTATTATTTAGAAACGTATTTGTCGATTTTTTGTGGTCGTAATGGTAGATACCGCTGCATGCAAAGCATCTGGAGACAATCAGAGGACAGTTTTTGCATTAATATCAACATGAAGGAATATCGACAGACACTTTTGGAGAATATGACATGATTTAAGGATTCTGCAGCCGATTAGCATCACTGTGCAGGATTATAACTGTTTAACTGGATTCAACAAATGAGGAAAAACCCTGAAGGAAACTCAGAAACTGAACCAGAGCCCATCGGTTCAGTCCATAATCTCAAATCATAAAGTTGCTGAGAGCTGCTGCTGCAGGAGGAAACTGTTCACAACTGAAACATAAAAAAACAAAACAAATCATAACAGTAAAGCCACGTATATTGTTCCCCTCCAGGCAGCATCGCAGCTACAGTTTTATGACACCAAACTCGACTGAGTGAGACGACGTTAGGCCGGCTGTAAACAGAAGGACGGTCGAGCTTCTGAGTCGCCTCCTTTTGTCGGTTTTAGCTTTGTTTCCTTTTTCGCGTTAATAATGAACAAAACGTTAAAAAGACCCCTTTCATGAGAGGCATCCTGGGAAATGTGGTCTTTGTTTGGAGAACAGCCAGAAGCTGCATCGACCTCGTTTGTTGTGATCACACAGAGATTATCTGAAGTTGCTTTAATGACATTTGGGGCTGAAATACATTAAGCATCGTTTCATGATTAGCAAAACAGAAGATGCCAACATCCATCATAAACGTGTCTGAACGTCGTTTTAAACGTTGCTCTGTCGTTTCCAGAGTCTGAAGAAACGTTCTCTGTTCTCTTGGCCTGAATCCTGACGAGCTGATTTCACGAAACCAAGTCGAAGCAACTTTACGCGACTCGGAGGCAGAAGCACTAAGATGTGGACGTTTAGATGGACTCCTGTCTGATTATTGACTTTATGATTTTATTGTTGTTGTTTTATGACGCTGCAGCAAACCCTCTATCTCCACATAAACCGTATTTAAAATGTCACACAACCCTAAACAGGGATGCTCTTATAACAGAGACTCCTTTATCCTCGTTAAATAAAGGTCAAATTAAATGTAATTAATCTATTTCAGGATGAGGAATCTCTCTCTGCACGATGCAGCAGAGTCACCAAAGAGAGGTTTATTTTTTAATTAACTCTCTGAATCCCAGAATCAGCTGGTGTGTTTAATAAGCACGTTCTCATACGGAAACCAGTCACCGTTCATCACAGCAGGAACTGAAAAAACAGAAAGAATGGCCAGAAGTTCTGCTGAGTTCTCTCTGTTTCTAGCCATGGACGTGTCGTGTCCACAGAGCTGCAGGACTTTACATTGCAGTGGAAAATGAGCCAGGAGCAGAAAACTTGAGGTTAAATTTAGCCCTGTAGATATCTATAAGGTCAGATCAGAAGCACACAGTGTGAATTAATAAACGAGATAGTTCAGATATGTGAAAGTCTTGACACCAGTCTTTACAGTAGCTCCACATCAAAGCGTCTCGTCCTGCCGCTCCGGCTGCAAAGACTCCTTAATAAAGTCCTCACTTGCTATGCATTACCCCGCTTACTTTTAATCTCCCTGATAAAATTCAGTCCTCCAGGCCGCCTCCTGCCCGCCCCGCTCTCTCACCTTGCCAGCTGTCGTTGCAGACGCAGAGCTTCTCTCCGGTCAGGTCGCAGTAGCCGTGGTCCGGGCTGCCACAGTTGTCCCTGCAGTACGGGATGTCGCAGGCGTCCCCCTTCCAGTACTCGTCGCACTCGCAGTACACTCGGCCCGCCACCGAGTTCGCCGTGCTGCATCTGCCGTGGCCCGAGCAGTTGTTGGGACAAGAGTTTATCCTGCGGGAGGCGAAATTAGGCAGAAAGTCAGGGAACATCTTCAAGGTTGCGCAGCACCGCGGGGGAGAGGCGGCTGGCTGCGACCGGCCAGATAGTATTTTTAGACAAGCACACAGCCTTGAGATGTTGTGGGAGAAAGTAAAAGTGTTACAGGCCGAGAAGACTACAGCGGCTCTGAAGGCTTCTAGGAAAAGGTTTAAAAAAAACTCAAGAAATCATTGAAACCCCCACTAATCAATGGGCCACGTTAAGGAAGGTGATGTGAGAGCAGCTGGAGGGCGACGCTGCCTTCAGGACACGTTCACGTCGAGCTCGTTTCCAGCTGCAGCATAATAAGCTCTGATAAACTTTACTGCCTCTGCAGCACCAAACAGCAGCCGCACAGAGTTAGCTGAAGGTTGGTGGAGACCAAAGATGAGACAAAAGACTCTGTTTCTACTATAAATGTCACACAGGTACCCCACCTATCAAAGGTGGTGTTACTGTGCTGTTCAGCTCCATCCAACAACACCATGAGTCCAATCCTGCATTTTATTGACGCACAGGGAAAAAGAATCCACACTGGGCCGTGCAGGTAG